AAATGGACTATATCCATCCATTTAGCATCCACTATCAAACCGTTTGAACTCCAATAATTTACTTCACCTTGCCATTAAGCAACATAGCCAGGTCTGAGCATTTTATGACTTCAAGGTATGGTGGCACCACCTACCATTACCTTTACATACTGCTAACCCATGGTTTTTGACACACTATATAATTCATTATTACTAATAAAAACCTGAAATTTATTATCACTGAGTATTTGTCATTTACATAGAAAATATCTTAACTAGTAGGAGTAGGATTAAAAACTTCTGACAAGATCGTCAAGGTTCATGAATTTTGATTATTTTTGAAATGTAGTATGTGATTCACACCAGGAAATACCAGATAGTCTGAACTGAATTTAATATCAATAAGGTATCTTTGTTCTAATAAGAATTGATCTGTGGTAACCCCAATATGGACTGGGATCACCCTAAGACATACCAGAGCATCAAAAGAATCAGATGCATCAGAAGGTTGACTTCAAAAGAATCTCAGTGGCTGTTTCAACATATAAACTAGGTACCTCCACGAAATCGATAAAAAAAGAGCATAGCTTGATGAAAAAGACACCAACCTTGCCAAAAACTAAATTTTATTGTCTAAATGCTTATGTTATTATTAAAAGGAAAGACCAAAGTTTTTTTTTAATTATTTTTTTAAAAATTTTTCCTTCTTTTTTAGAACATTCTAAATTTTGATTAAAAAAACCTTTTTCTATTTGTATCAGCGGAACTAGTAAATAACATAGACAATTTTTAGCACGTTTTTTTGGTATGACACACATTAATTTGAAAAATCGTGCAAAAAATAGAAATAATTATCGGATGTTAATGAAACTTTCAGGAACTATTCACAGATGATCGAAATTTATTATAAATATGTTTTTTTTTTGAAAGTCATGGTAGAAATATTTTTTTAAAAATATTTATTACCCCCCCATAACTAATTTTATGAAAACGCTAGAAATTCGATCGCATCGGTTTTAGTGATTACAATAATTAAAAGCACAGGGCTTTGAGGAATGCAAATCATGTTTTTTTTTGTTTTTAATTGGATACGCAGTACCTGAAAATCAGCTCTGAATTGTAACATACAAAACTCAATAAAACAAAGATATTATTTAATTTCAAATGCTTTTATTTGCTTTTAGTTGTTTTTATGAATATGGACAATATTTTCTGAAAGCAAAAAAATTTTTTCAATGAAAATGAATTTTAATACAATTATTTGTTATTTCATTAATTATAATAGATTTTACATTTAAGTTGTTAAAATATTATAAAATTAGTTAAAAAGTCATTGCATCGGCTTTCATAAGTGTCCTTATGAGATAGATCTTTTTTTAGCGCGTTGTAAATTGTATCATTTTGACTAATCAGAAGATCCCCAGTAATTAAGAAATGTAATTTTGTGCTTATAATCGAGCTGTAATTATAAAATACGGAAGACCAACCAGAATATAATTAAGTTGCGTTATTTGAGTTAAGCATTGTTCTCCGCTGTTAAGGCCTTTTACTTTTGCAAAACACGTGTGGAGAAGTTAATTTGATTTTTCAATTTCAACTTCAAAGGAGAACCCTACAAGTATCAGTATCATCTTATGAAATTTATATGATCTTATTTTTATATTAATCTCAGTTATGACATTTTTCCATAAATGAAATATCAAAATTAATAAAAAATGAATGCAAATACAAATAACAGTAGAATGTAATAAATGTACATAAAATTATAGTATTTTATGTACAATTCTGATAAAATTTTATAAGAAAGGTACCTATAAATTAATTAGATACCTTTAAGAAAAATATGAAATTTAATGTCACTCTTAACAGTTTTATTTTAATTTTTTACAATATATTTCCCATAAAGCATCATAAACGTAAAGGTGAAAGCTAAGTACAAAAAAAAAAAAAAAAAAATTAGACCGCTGAAAGTTTTCGTTAAAAATAACGGGGTAAATAATTTGTTCACGTAAATGTAAATTATTTCACTTTTCTCCTTCCAGAGAACAAATTAGCCTCATGGAATTCGTAAATATATCATTCATCACATGTCAAGAGACGCGAAAGTTTATGACCTGCTTTGTTTTATTTTCAAATTACATCTTTTTGGCACAAAAGCTAAGTTAAGTTTGGTTTGGTTAAAAATATTTTAAATAAACATTATAATTTCTGATTTTCTTAAAATAAGTTTTGAAAAAATGATAATTGATATTTAAAAAAATTTCAAAGTCAGATTTCCAGTTTTTTTTTAAATGGAAAAAAATGGTCAATTTTGCTGACTCAAAAAAAACTAGATTTTTAACGAAAATTTCGGACGTGCTAGGAACGATTAAAAAATGGAAAAAAATACCCCCAAAATACTTTGACCTTTCCTCTTAGACGATAAAATTTTGTTTTCGTCAAGTTTGGCGTCTTTTTCATCATGCTATGCTCTTTTTTTAGTGATCTCATGGAGGTACCTAATATAAACAATAATTTTGACCCAGACAATTGAATAACAAAGTTATATAAGCACCCTAACCAACAAGGAAATGCAAGAGCTTCTTATATCCTCCTAAAATGATGATCAATGCTAGAAGAAAGTTCACAAAACCACACACCAACATTGCCAAAGTTCAGAAGTGAATAAATAATATATATACATAAAAGATTCATTCTTGTATTTTTTAATAACATTACAAAAATAACACATATCCATTTTTCACAAAATGATCTTAATGACTTTTTGAGATGCATTGAATCTTCTAGACTGAAAACAATAAATAAAATTTAAACATTTTTTTTTTATTCCCAAATAAAAAAATATCATCACAAAATTTTTTGGCATTTTAAAGACATATAAACAATTAAAAAAAGTGCATTTTTTCATTCAACAATTGACATCACTTCTGGGAATTAATCAAACAAGTTGTCATAGCAACTTGCTTCATGAAAGTTGATTTCTCCAGACAAACGAGTACATTCATGCAGTATTTGTTCATATGACTATATATAGCTTAAAAATGTCTGCTGATTCAATCAATTCACAGATTAAATTTTACTCATAATTTTCTTTACAGTGTGTTTAAGAACATTGTAGGGAAAATTATGTGCTATACTTTTAATGTGGGAAATGTATTGTCCTTTAAAGACAGGAACTGATAATATTGATAGTAAAAGAAATAATGTTGCAATTTGATTTATATTTGTATAATTTCTTCTTTTCAGATTTTACTGAATTGACTGAATTGTTTGTATACTCATGTAAGGATTGGCTCCAAGATGTAAATTCACTATATCCACTATATTTATTCCAGTATTTCAAGTTAAAAGACACATCTTCAGCAGATGAACCAAGAAAGCTCACTCTACCCTGATCTACATTGGAAAACTTCTAAAATATTATATTTACACTACTTATTAAATGTTCAAAATATTAAAAATATACAAAAGTTCAGTTGAGAGCTTTCTTCAAAATAATTTTTCACTAGAAAATGCTGTTTTAAAATGTTGAGACTGAATTTAAAATGAAATAAAATCAACATATTTGCAAATAATTTTTTTTACATTCAAGATAAAATGAATTTTGTTAAATTTCATAAAATCTTCATAAAAGAATCCAAGCAAATAATTGTGCACTTTCAAGCTAACATTCAACAAATTTTTAAAAAAATGAATATCAGGAGTTAATTTGATGTTAGTGATATTGTCAGTGCAAAAAGTTAAGTCTTGTTAATTTTATTAACATTATTATTATTATGTACTCAATTTGCAAAGACAATGGATCTAAAAACTTAAAATTCACATGTTAACATTTTTACTATATTCATTTTTATTTATATAAATATAAAATTTTGAAAATCAGAAATGTGAAATAAAGCAAGAATTTAAAAACATCTTTTTTCTATTTTTAAAATAAATTTTGACATGCTTTTATCCTAATCTGTACTTGAAATTTTTTTGCATCATGAGCAATGCTGAGAAATACTTGGCCTGATCAATTTATCCAAATTATTATTCTGATGTAAGGTCACTAAAAGATTGATTTTAGGAAGTGGATTAAGATGAGAGATTTTCTGAGCACCAGTCTTTTAACAGCAAATTGATTTTCCTTGAAATTTCTAAAGCTTTTTCAAATATTAAATCTTTGTTTAATTCATGAATTGAACATTTAAAGATATGAAATTAATAAAAATAATTTGATCCATTATTTAAAGTTTTGAAGATGGTAGAAAGATGACATAAAATGCACATATTGACAACAGATGACTCAACAAACACTCATGTGAGTTCTTTATATAAAAACAGAAAAATCAGTGATCTTTTGCAAAATAAATATTATCAACTTCTATCTTATTTATTTTTATACTCAGTTGCATTTACTTTTTCAATTTATAGGAGTTCAGGTTTCATTTTTGTATACAGAAACAATCCTGACAATCAGTTACCCATTTGTAAATAAAGGTAAAAATGTTGCTCAACTCTTGGTAATCTAATTGGGTCTAGTGTTTTAACAGAGCATAAATCAACAAATGAATAATTATTCACTAATTAATCAACTCATTGTATTAATTCTTGTGCAAAAATTAAGCAACTCGATAACTGGTTAAAATTTCAATTTGCATTAAAAATAATTTACTTTAATGAATATAAAAATTAGTGAGCTTTTTTTTATATTTTAAAATCTTTTCATTTCAGAGTAGAAGACTTTTTAAGATTTTCTTTAGAATGCTATTCTTCTAAGACTCATAAAATATATACAATACTTATAAGACTCACATGTTATGTGCAAGGATTTTAAGTTTTTTATGGTTATAAAAGCTAAATTCCAAACAATAAAGCTGTATTAACATGAGTGAATCAAGCAAAAATAAAAAAATAAAAGCTGCTTGTGCAATAATCTCATCTTTATTTATACAGATCACAAAGTGGGATGAAAAGCTTTAAAAGTTGCAAAGAATAAAATTGACGGATGAGAATAAAAAAAGGAAAAATTATTTTGATTATGGATTAATATTTAAAACTCCACTTGGATCCACTTTGAGTTTGCTTGTGTCAAATGTTTGTCCTTTAAAAGGTGAACCTTCGGCGTCCCATGCTTGCTTTAACAAGTTATGTGCTTTCTGAAAGAAAGAAGGGAAAAGCATTTCATAAAAATAATTTTCACAAAAGAAAAAAGATTGTAAGAAAATATTTCTTGGTTATATGCATTTTGGAATGAACTCAAGTGGGTGAAACTTAAAGAATTTGGTCCCCAGATTGCCAGACTAACTTTTTTCACTATCATCCTGGAACCACCCAAAAAAACAATTTTAAATGTCTTGAAAAAATTTTACAAATGTCCCAGAATCAAATATTGTTTTTGACCTTTGTTAGTATTTATAGTTGTTGGCAGCAAAATAAAAACACAAATAAATTTTAAAAAAAGCTAAAAAAAACTTTATAAAATAATACAAAAACAAATTAGTTAAATTATACTGAAAATTTATAAAAATTATAACTTTATTTTTATGTAAACATTTTGATTAAATCACCTTAAATAATTTTACATAAAAACTAATTTTCATGTTTAGACTAACATTTATTATACTTTAAGAATTAATTTTCTCTGTAAAGAATATTTGTGCATTCCAACTGTTCACAATCAAAAAGGTTTTTAAAGTCCTTATCAAACAATTTTCATTTATAATTACCTACATCATGTTGTGACTAAATTTTCTGTTCGTTTAACATTTTGTTAAATTCTCCTTTGTATTTCAATTCAGTTTATGTTAAGCAGAAAACATCAATATTTTTTGTTACTAGTTCATTCATGTTTTTTAACAAAAACTGACAAACAAAATATATAATTTTCTTGCTATATTTATTAAAACAAGATGAATTCTTACAATTAGATATTAATGGTTTTCACATTTAGAGATAAATAATACAAAGATTTTCATGCTTCATTTTTCATTTCAGGTTTCATTCATTCTTTTTAAACAAAGGAGTTAAAATTCTTACTTCTCACTAATAAACAAAATTTATTACATTGAACTTAAATCTCTAAGCCCTTATCCAACTTTAAAGATGTTTGAGGGAGGTAAGCTGAATAAATAAGGTTAATTAAATTTTAATTTATAAATGAATACAATTTTGGCATAGACTCAGAAACTTATGCTTAAAAAGACTGTATTGAATTAAGAACTAACATATTCTCTGTTATTTGAAGAGAATTAATAAAACAATATTCTACCAAAAACAACAAAAATATTGCTGTATTATTTCAAACACACACATATATATATATATATATATATATATATATATATATATATGTATGAAATATTTGCTATTAATAAATAAAATTAAATGTTCAACTTAGTAGGCCTAGAATAGAAATACATGTGATATTGAAACTGCTAATAAAGAAAGACAAATGACAACACATCATCAGTAGCAATTGTAACAAAAGAGAAATTTTCAAGCATGTCAAGGAACAACATTTATCAGCAGATTGGTTAGGTTTAAGACTCCAAATTCTCCACATAGAATTTTCCCATGGGACAATAACCTAGTAGTGTTGGTTCATGAATTTGGTGACATAGCAATTGTGATTTCAATCCCTGGGCTTGGATGAGCAATAATGGAAAAAAATTAAATTTAAATCTACAAACCATAGATTAAATAAAGAGTTCAGTTCAAAATTCCTTATAGGTTACTCAGAACAACATACACAATGTCCAAAACGCTGTGATAACAACATAGAGATGAGGACAATAACTTCTCATCCCAGAGATTCAAACAGAAATTTCTAAGATATTTGTTTTATTTTAGTAGGATTATAAAACTTATAGATGTCATCTAATTTTGTATGGTAGATTATAAAGACTAAATTAGATTAGATTATCTGTTTTGTTAATTGATTTTCATTTCTGTAAAGTAACTGGAAGCAGTAGTTAAAGTTGGTTAGTTCTGAAATCGTTCATAAAAATTCTCATCACTTGATGTTCTCATGAGACATATTTTGAAGATATTCTTTGAGAAATGCATTTTTTTTTAACAGTTGACATTCAAGAGAAAATGTCTATTTGATGATTTGGTAGAAATTTCACATAAATGTTTATAAAAATGAAATTAGAAATGTAAACAAACAATACAAATAATTTCTCATATAAATTATGTAATATTTTTTTTAAATTGGTTCCTCAGTCTTCCATTATAATAGCACTTAAGTATATTTTAGTGTAAGCTATTTTCTAAGCCTGGGTGAATTTTTTTTATTCATACTCAGCATTAACTATTTTTTGCTAATTTGCACCTTTAATCACCTGTTGTGTAAATTGAATTGAAATTCATTTTATTAGTGAAATTCTGAGTTAACATGTTTTGTCTAAATTAAAGGTCAATTATTAAAGTTAGACATATATATGCAATTAATTCAAATATTTTAAATACCTAATTTCAATTAATAATTTCAATAAAATTTATATAAATATAAAAATTCTGAGTAAAATATTTTCAATAGGAAAATGAAGGAAATTGTTTTGTTTTAACCAAAAAAATTACATTTTTACATTAAATCTTTACATTTTTTCTAATGTGTGCATAACAAAACAAAAATGAGTGACAATATCAATTATTTTTTTTTAATTCAAAATAAAAAAAAAAGTAATGTTTCAGTGTAGTAAATTGCTTGTTCAAAAACTGACAAGATATTTTAAATTCAAAGTACCTCTTCATGGGATTGTGGCAGCCCCAATCGTTTTTGTCGCTCATTATACATGAGTTCTTGTATTTTCATTTGTTCATCTTCTTTTAAATCTGACATTGGACGTGAGCAATCAATTTCCCGTACATTGATTTTAGGCTCATTTATAAAGACAGCATCCCACCACCGTTCTTGGACTTTTTCAAGATACAACTGGGGAGAAAAAATAAAGCTATGAAAACATTGAAAGCAATCACCATAATTTTCATTAAAATGTAAAAACAATAAAACACACATACTCATATTTAGTTTTAATATACTCTTTAATTCAAGAAACTTGATCCATCCATATATATGTTTAGTCTGGAATCAGTTACACATATTGTAGTGATAGAGAAATAACTGAATAAAAATAAATAACAAGGAGACCAAAATTTCACCATCTTTAAAAATAGACAGATAATAAAAATCACCAAGCAAACAAAACCATAGTTCGGCCAACCAATTGGAACACTTTCACAACAAGGATGTAAAAAAAAAAAAAAGAAATAAACAAATAACAAAGAGACCAAAATTTCCGCATTTCTAAACTGACCAATCAAAAAGTTTTCACAACCAAGATATGAGCCAATAAGAAAGAAGCAGCCTCCTCAAAGTGGATCTATAGATATGTATACAGGTGGAAAATCAACCAAAATCTGAGTTGATAAATTAATTTTGTTCATTCTCCAAAGCTGCTATCACCAGAGACAAAATACAGCACTTGCATGACTAGTTGGCAACCCTATATGGCTAAACCCTTATTTGCTGCATTGAAACAAATATACCTTCCTTCACCATGTGGTCAACCAGAGACTACTACATTTGGATACATACATATACATATTTACTCTCTCTCTCTCTCTCTCTCTATATATATATATATATATATATATATATATATATACACACACACACATATATCTCTTTTTTATGTGACAGGACTTTTACACTTGAACATGACATTATTTCTAATCTCACTTCTTCACTCATATCAAGAGAGACTATGAGAGAAAAAACAATAAAAAAATATATAACTTTTATAAGTTATGCAGATATATTTATAAGGTAAATAGAGAAAAATAATAAAACCAAACTTACATGGATATGTTCTCCAGGTATGAGACTCCACATACAATCATCTTTTTGAACTTCCCACATCAGATCATCATCAATGAAGATGATTTCTTCACCATTGTCAGCTCTATATGAAACCTTTAAGTGTTTCTTTTTTATGTCCACTTTTATTTGCTTTCCTTTTACCAAATTCTTAGGAACCTTCAAAATAAAATAATCTTTTTTCATTAGATGACCATACAAAATTCAGTAATTTATAGTGACAATGCTTCACCTGAGAAATTCCAACTACACACAAGGGGGTACTGAAAAGCTCCAAGCCCAATTAAGAAGACTTTCAAAAAGAAAATAATTCTGATGTTTGGTCTAATTTTAAGAAATGGATTGGTCTAAGACCTTTTCAGCAGCTTCTTCAGTTATAAATTGTAAGCTGAAGTGAAACTAGGAAAAAGGTATTTACCTGCACTCTCAAGTCACAATCTGTGATTGACTGAGACCAAGAATATCCTTCTCTCTCAGCTCCATTATAACTTTCTGAGTCAGCTTGATATGTTTTGCTTGGGGGACTAGAAAATACAACAATACAAGTCAGTAAAAAAAGAAAAAGTCCCATTGCTGATAAATGGGATATTTTACATGAATTTAGTAACATAGTTTAATGAAGGTGAAATAATAATTTATCATTTTCAGTAATCATTGAGAAATAAAAGAAAAAACAGTCAATGTGTAAAACAAGTTTTTTCAGTTGAATTTATGAGAAGACAAAAATTCCTGGCTTAGGACATATGTATTGCAAGATCTCAGGTCTAGCCTAAACCTCAAGGAGAAAATGCAAAATGGGCTTGCTAGAAAGCTAAGAAAAATCAAGTGACAAATCTGCTCTGAATAGGAGTGTACAATGTTATGTAGAGAAAGAGAAGAAGGAAAAAAAACAATGACTAAAACTTTATTAAGAAAAGAAACATACAAAGGGAAAAGCCAGAAACAAAATAATTAAACCGAGAGTAACTGAGACACAAATCCATCAAAATCAAGATCTGAAATGTATAATTGACTTTCAAATCAGTAACTTCATTCAGCCATTTTTGAAAAAATAGAATATTGCTTATTACTAGAAAATTGATAAGAATAACAAAGAACATATATGAACACATAATTCCAACATTTTAACATACAATGCTACATTTATATTTCTATCATCATATCATATCCTGGTCTATTATCATAAATAGGTACAAAATTAACACACAGCTATTTCCAGGATTTTGATATTTAGTCAATCTTAAAATTAATAAACAGAAGAGGAGTTGTTTGGAAGGATGTGTGACACTTACTCGGTCCTCGCATGAATTCATTTGGAACCAATAATAAACATATCAAATAAAGGGAGATAAACCAGTCAAATATTAAACAATAAACATTTAATGCGATGGATAAATTGTCGTTTAAATTACACCAAAATGAAAATAACACTGATGTCTCATTATAACAGATATATTTACCAAAATTGCACAAAAATATCTTGAAATACTATAGAGTAAATTTATTCAATAAAATCACCATTGGTTTCAACTATGGCATCCAGACGACTTTGGAATTTCCCACAACACTTCTGGTTGATCTCCTTGTCTAAGTTAGTCAATGTTGCCATAACTCTTGCCTTCAGTTCATCTTTGGTGTTACAAGGAGTTTTGTTGGTCTCTCGCTCAACTGTGCCCCACACATAATAATCAAGGGGGTTGCAGTCTGGGGAGTTAGGTGGTCAAATGTAAGGAGTGTAAGTCACAGAAATTATCTGATAGCCCTGACAGGGTTCTGCTGCTTGTGTGGCATGGTGCAGAGTCCTGTTTCTAGCAACCACCTTCTTGACCCTGGGCAGCACTACTTCCTCAAGGCACTTGATGCAGGCCTCTTGTGCTGAGTTTAAGGCCCTGTAGGAAGATGAATGGAGGCATAACAACACCATCACTAGTGATCACTCCGAACACCTTCGTAATCACCATTAGACTCATCCAACTCTTTCCGAATCCTCTGCACTGTCCTCAGATTGATACCCAAATACTCTAAATCTTCATATTAGCACTTTCAGTGCCAAGCAGTAGAGCATACAGTTTCCAAATTTCTGGTGGAGTGTCATGGTGCTCTTTTTCTCACAGACAGTGACCAATTGACCCTACTATACTGTGCAGTTGATAAAATTAAAAACAATGCGCATGTATGAAATTAAAAATATACATTGGCAACAGTTTACACATTGCAACCTGTAATTTGCACAGAAAACCAATTTACAGTTCTCATCTTTGTTGTATTATTGTACACTACTCCCGAGTTGAACCTCTCCAACCACAACTAAATATGTAGCCCTATCCTTGGCCCTAGACAATGGTAACCAATTATGTCATCCTGACATTGGTTCTCAAATTCCTTCAGACCACTATAGTTACCATTTAGCTGACTCTTCACTCATTAGTGCATGACTCATTTTATCGCTGGTATCATGTTGGTGTCACAACCATTAATTTTTGTCATATTCTGTTTTTGATCTCAGTGGGTAACAAGATCATTGATGAAGCAAACTTGCAGTGAAGATGGTTCGACCATTTGGGAACTTCACTAAAGAACAAGAATCATTTGGAATAAAGAATTAACTTGGGTTAAAAACATAACAATGATTTGGTTTATACATGATTTGTTGTATACAGCGGTTTAACCTTTCCCACTTGTTATAATCAAATGACACTGAGATCCCCTTTGGAGTCTGCAGCTTGTTTTAGTAGTAACTTAAATTTCTAAGTTCTTGTCTTTATGTCTTTGGTCAGGAGGTCTCAGTGAATAATGCAGATTCCAGTGTGTGTCTCTTCTTGTGTCTCCTGTTTTTCTGTTATCTTAACTGTCTCTGAGTCCAAAATCTCCAGCTTATATGGAGCCCTGCATCCGGCAAGTGTTGGGTTGGCTAGAGTCTGGGTTTGGTTGTCTTCTACCCTAAGTATCAACATTTTCTAAATTTCCATATATAAAAATACATTTACTCAGGTGGTTTTCCAAATTTGGAGTTGATCAGCTCCCTTTTGAGTGTGGTCAGTGGAATCAAGCCACCCATTAACTCTTACTAACTTTACACTTTGCTTTGTACCATCACTCTATAAAGGTGGTGCTAATTTCTCTTTCTCTCCCTTTTCTTTCTTCTTCCTTCTCTCACTTTCTCAACAGCCAACCTCAGCTAGGTTCCTGGGGCTGGAGTGATAAATCCAACTTCCAGATGGGACAGCTAAGACAAAAGGGATTTTCAGTCATTAGTTCTTATCAACTTCCCCCATATTGGGATCCTCTTGATCAACCAGACTACACAAGAATTGGAGAAAGAAAAATCTATTTCTATTCTTCTTAAAATGAAGTTTATCTTTTCTTTGTCTTATGCATTTGTTTTACAATCAGATAGACCACACAGCTTTTTTGTCCATAAAGTCTTTAAAATACACTATTTACATCTCACGTAGTCTGTTCTTTTCCAACGTAATAAATCTAATGGATGTCAGTTATGAGTTATCTCCTGTTAATTCCCCTCTCCAAGTTCTCCACTGCCTTAACCAGATATTGGAGGGAATTAACAGGAGATAATTGATAACTGACATCCATTAGAATGGTATGAAAACTAGAAACAACACCCTAGTGAATAAAATAAAGGGTTCAGTTTGACATTCCAACCACCTGAAGAAGGCCGGTGTGTACAACGACCAAAATGTTGTGATAAATATGGCAACAAAGATGAGAACAATAGTCTGAATAATGTAAATAGTGTACATAATACCTCATCTCAGAAATATAGACAGTCTTTAAAATAGTAATTAATTTTTTCTTACCACTTGTATCCAAGTGAATCCAAATTAATGTTTGGATATCAAATTTTCTCTGGATGAATGTCAACAAAATTATAATGATGAACACGTGGGGGTTCTTTTCTCCTGGGTGGTTGATTCAAAATATGTTTTTATTGTGATTCATGGTATTTTGCTGACCACCTGGATTTTTCCATCAACAACATATGTTTTTATTTTATCTGACATCTTCATGGATACCTTAATGGTCACTCCCTTATCAGTGCTAAGTAGGGGAGAATAGGCAGTCTTGGGTTTGTTAAATCTTAATGAATTTTGTCTAGTTAAATCTGGGTTTGATTCTCCTTGAAATTATCTCAAAACATTATTTTGCAATTTCATTTCAGTTTTAATTTTCTTCTCAACTTTTCAATACATCTTCCTGCAATTTCAACATTTACCATCCAGTTAGTAGACTCTCTCTTATTCTTTCTTTCTTTCTCTTTTTGTTTGATCAACCTCTAGAGATCTCAGCATCACATTATCACAACATTTTCCGTTGTGCTCTTCAGGTGTCAGTTGATCTGGGTAATCTTCAGGTTACCTGGATCAACAGACACCTTTGAACTGAATGCTTTATTTAATCCTCTAGTTTACTGTCACATGTGACAATGAAATTAAATATATTCAAAATTTTTTCCTCTTACATATACGAAAAGTAGAATGAGGAATAGTTTAAAAACTTTAGCCTCAAGGATTAAAGTGTTGATTCATGAATTTGGGGGTATAGTTGTTGTGAGTTCAATCTCTAGGCCTGGTTGTTCAGACTCAATGGAAACAAGACTAGCATTTAATGATCAGTACTAAAAAAGAACAAGAATAGATATCCATAAACATGGACAGTGGGACGAGAGCAATTTACCCCTGCAGATCAAATAGGGAATTTAGTTCAAAATTCTATGAAGATTACTCAGATCAATAGAAACCTGAAGAAGACAGGATGGTATAACAGCTGAAAGACTGTAATAATAACAATAAAGACGAGGACATTAGTTTGACTGTAAATAATGTATATAATGATAACTCCTCATCCCAAAAATTCTGATAGATCAATGATTTTATTTTTAACCTTTTCACCACAAGCAAGACAATAAAGCCACTAAGACACAAGGGGGGGATTACTGAGTGTGAGAGAATATGAGAAGAAGAAAACATTATTAAAGAGAGAGAACAATAAAATAGGTATTAAGAAGACAGAAGATAATGATTAACATTGCATTTAATTTTTTGACGATCAAAGTTGACTGTAAAGCAAAAAGCCAGTTTCACAAGCAAGAAGTGCAATAGAAGAAACTGTTAGCATAGAACTTATGCTTACATCTTGCAACTCATGCTTTACATCTTATCAACTGTAAAATGATAAAACCTTGCCACCAATCTAGTACTGTGTTTAAATTCAGAAAGTCTAGCTACCAGAGAAAAAAGCTCATCTGAACAATTACCATGAAAATATTTATAGAAAAGGAACAGGTAAGCTATATTATATTACTATATATTGTCTGTTAAAGGATCTTATAAATCTGTAAAACAAAACATGTAATAAAATGCTAAAAATATTTGTAATCAAATGTTATCATCATATATCATAAAGAAAGTTTACCTAAAATATTCTTTGTCTAATTTTAAGTATGGTATGTATCTCTGTGATCATTACACATTTCAGTTACTTTTCTCAAACTGATTTCTAGCCTTGTCATTAACAAATGCAAAATAATGCCAGTTACATGCATGTTTTTATAGCAATTTTAGCTTTAATTATAATTTTAAAAAGTAAACTTTTAAAAATTCAATCAATATAAAAAAATAACTATATAAAAAACAATAACTATATTTTCAAGTTAAATACAGAATTTTTCATACCCTTGATTAATAGTATTTGCTTGACTGTCTGTAGAATTATTTTCTTCTTCTGATGTTGTTTTAGAAGCTACTTTTTCTTTTTCAGGGAATTTTGGCTTTTCTCTGCAAGTTTCGGCATCACATATATTTGGTGACTTGCTATCTACATCTGTCATTTCTAGAACAAAAGAAAAAGAATGTTTGAAATTTTTAAAAAGTTTTTTTTTTAAAACAAGATGGTTTCAAGGAAGTTGACAAATAAAAATTGTTATTTTCATATAAAATTTATTTTTTAAAAATGAATGAGAAAATTTTAAAATTTTGTTCTCAATAACAAATGATCATCTGTTGGCCATTAAAATTTTAAATCTATTTACCCAGTTTTTAAAAATGCCAATTAAATATGTTCCTGTATATTTTTTATTGACAGAATAAATTTTGTTAATTTTCAATAAAATTTTTAGAACTATTCCACAGAAAAATATATAATTCTGTTGACTTTTAAAAATTTAATGATGAAAATTAACTTTGAATATGTTTTATTCAACAATTTTTTATGGAAACCTGTGAAACTATTGTTACATAGATGTTATATAAATCACTTAAATAGTAAGAAAACTTAGGAATGTAAATTCACTCTACTATATTTGATAGAATATTAGAAAAATGGCTCAAGAAATATTTTCTGGGCTTTATATGTGAATTTGAGGTACCTTTTTGGTTAATGTTTACCCATATTATGCTACTACTAGAGGGTGTACCTAGTCAAACCCAACATACAATTTTTTTAATAATCAATTCATTTATAAGCAATTATATTCAAATTTGACTAAATCTAAATCTTATGATGTCAGTATGGATTAAGCAACTAAAAAGAAATTTTTAAAGTAAAATTAAAGAATTTTACTTTAAAAATTTAGTAAATACATTATTTTATACTGTATTCAAGAATTCTACCAATTCTACTAGTTTAGTTACAATGAAATGCCTTTCTTTACTAATACTAAGTATAAACCATGTCATCAACTTGAGTACTAACTTTTGAGCAAAAATTAAGCAACCCATAAGGTAATCAAAATCCTTAGCTGTACAGTAGTTATTTGTTAACATTTAGCCACTATAAGAAAAACGAGTGCAATAAAAAATATAAGATCTTTTTGTAATATTGAAATAAAATAATAGATTAAAAATCAAAACCTAAAAAAATAAGCAGTTGTTTAGCTGTCACTCCATATTTATTCCTGTGATCCATTAGTTTTTCTTGTATCAAATATGATAGCAAAAATCACCAAAATTATTTCCATGAACACTTTAAAAACTGCCTTTATAGTACAAAAAATATTTATTTTTTCTGTTTGCCTGTAAATGTTTTAAATATAAAAAAATATATATATGGATAATTATAATTATATTTTTCTGAGTATTTTATTGCAAATATGCAAAGATTTGTTGTAATTTGTAAAAGCATTTCTTGTGCCTTGACTTTCATCAACCATTCCAAATAGAATAAACTATTTCCTGAGGAGGACAATTCAATAAAACTGTTTACTTTATGCCTATTATAACAATGTGAAAATTGAATAAAATGACAGATTTACCTTCATGATATTGATTGGCTTTTGAGGCAATCAATAATTTGGGGTTGGAAGAATTCTCATTGTTTCTTGCTTTGTCCTCAAATTTCCGATAAGACTGGAATTTAAAGAAAATATTCTTTAAAGATGAGTGTTGTTATGATTCCCAACATTATTTGCAATATCTTTATAATATTGCTTTTATCACATTGACTTCATAAGTAAATTCTCAGTGAAAAAAACAACCTATTTCTAACACCCTTGTATGTCATAAAGAAAAAAAAAGCCTACTTCTGACACCTATATAAGCCATCAAGAAAAAAATTAATAGTTTATTTCTGTCACCCTTATGAGCCATAAACTTGAAAATATTTACTTTTATGTTAACAAATAGAATGAAATAGTCTATTTTTTATTTTTATTATAAAACAATAAACCTAATTATAAAATCATCCTTACAGAATCTTCAAAAGGGAAGGAGTGATAAAATTGTTCTTACTTATTTGTAACTAATATAAGCAAGCAAGATGAAGAATGGTTATTTTATAAACATGATAAAAATAAAATACATAACTAAAATTAATAACTATCAAAAAGATTAATAAGTCCATAATGCTCACTTCCAATCTTTTATTATATTAAATATAATATTAAAACTAAGACATGTTTTTTAAGGCAAAATATATATCAAATAAAGAAACAATTAATTATAAACAATACACTAATTTTAAACACAATTTTTCCAATTTTCAATATAAAATTTGGTTAAATTTGTTGCATAAAAAACAAGTTTTAAAGAGAAATTTGCCATTTGGAAAGAAAAATGTCTAACTCTGGAGAAATGATCATCTGTTGGCCATTAGAATTTTAAATCTGTTGTTTACTTAATAAACTTCAGCCAATACTTATGTTCCTGTATATTTTTTATTGACAGAATAAATTTTGTTAATTTTCAATAACAATTTTTTAGAACTATTCCACAGAAAAAAATATAATTCTGTTGACCAAAAAAATTTAATGATGAAAATTAACTTTGAATATGTTATTCAGAATAATTTTGTATGGAAACCTGTGAAGACATTGTTACATAGATGTTATATAAATCACTTAAATAGTAAGAAAACTTAGGAATGTAGCATTCACTCTACTATATTTGATAGAATATTAGAAAAATGGCTCAAGAAATATTTTCTGGGCTTTATATGTGAAGTTGAGGTATCTTACAGGTTAATGTTTACCCACATATTATGCTACTACTAGTATGTGTACCTAGTCAAACCCAACATACAATTTTTTTAATAATCAATTCATTTATAAGCAATTATATTCAAATTTGACTAAATCTAAATCTTATGATGTCAGTATGGATTAAGCAACTAAAAAGAAATTTTTAAAGTAAAATTAAAGAATTTTACTTTAAAAATTTAGTAAATACATTATTTTATACTGTATACTGAAGTTAAGTTTAAGAGTTCCTTTCTAGATTAGAATTATATTTTTCAGTCAATTGGACACAGCCAGATTTTAGCATGGAATATTGAGGAAAAAAGAATGCACACATCACAACCAAAAAAAATCAGAATTATAACTTTACCTTTATGTGAAATTCTCATTAACCATGAAGAAACACTTACAGTATTAGCAAAAATTAGACTACTGATACTTTTTTAAGCTTTAATTGCCAGGACATTTTTTGGAAAGGAAGAATTTTAGTACATTTCATCATGTATTTTTTGTAAATTGTTTTATTTGTTTTTCATGAAGCAACATCTGCACATACAGTAAATTCATAATAGCTGCAAAGAAATCTACTAGTATCGGTGAACACTGGTACATATGGTAACAGACAAAAAAAAAAGCAGAAATATGGTACTTGTTGGTAAATGAAGTCATATACCATACTTGCAGAAAAGCAAATTCCAATAACTGTATATCAACAAAACACACAAAGCAAACAGCAATGAACCAGTCAAAGCAATTATTTCTGTAAAAATCTAGTACGTCTACAAAACAAGCAGCAAATTATTGTGTGATTCCATAAATTTCTTTTTCTTGGATTAATTTTTCAGGGATATTTTTATTGATATTGTGACGGTTACACACCTGGCCCAGGGTCGAATCCCTTGGTTACGGCGCCAACTGTGACGTCGCTCCTCCTGGTCGCTCCTCCTGGTTCCAAGCGTGCCGCTCCAACCCCTTGGTTGGATGATCACCAGCCTCGCCTTTCCCAACTCGCTTCCAATACCTGGTTACTGAAGCAACTGTACTGATCTCCGGTCTGTCTACCCACGTTGTGTTTAGATCTTAGACAGACGGGACCAGCAGGGATTGGGGCCGATACAAGTTGAGTCCGACGGGGGTGGCAAAACACAAGTAAAAGAAAAAAAAAAAACTCACGAGACAAAAAAATTACTGATAAAAAAGGGTGACAACCTTTTATATCTAATGTCCGTTACATAAAGAAAAATTGTTCTCAATTCCCGACCCGCTCTGTGGACTATGGCACCAAGCTTCTATCACACAACCTAAAGATTTCAATTGCCTACTCTTTAGAATTGTGTATGTCGGAGTGTGGTTTAGTTCGACACTGGGGCTAATTTCTATCGATCATTCGCAGTTGATTCTTCTCTTCGACTTGAGTTGTATTTCTTCTTCTTCGTCGACTAAGATAGAACTTCTCTTGTCTTCGACTTGGCTGCATTCTCTTCTTCGACTTGCTTGCGGCTTTCGAGTAATCTTCTTCTTCGTCTGCTTGGGCTGGAAGTTCTCTTGTCTTCGACTTGGGCTGGAAGTTTTCTTGTTCTTCGTCTGCTTGGGCTGGAAGTCGTCCGAGGTCTCTTCTTCGTCTTGAACTTTGGGCTGGAAGGATTTCTTGCCGCAACTCAGCTGCAACTCTCTGTCGTCGAGGTGATCTCTTCTTCGCTGCCGTCTCTGGGGCTGAACTCTTCTGTCTTCGACTTGGGCTGGAAGGATTTCTTGTCTGAGGATTCTTTTGCCCGCAAAGGGGCGAGTGAATCGGGCCTGATGCCCGCGTTCAGGCTCTATCCCTGCCCGCGGTCCAGCTGCAACTCCACTCCAACTGATTTCTGTCGACTGGGGTCCTGCTTTTATTGACGCCGCAACAAACCGGGGTGGGTCTGTCGGCGTCAGGGGTTTCTCAATAATTCCAATAGCTGCCTTATTTCTGTCTTCTCATTATCGCTATTGTTTTCACCCCTACTTCCTCACAGTGCCCTTGGTGGGGAGGCGCACACCCATCTTTCCCGGTCCCTCGTATGTCAGGTGACCGCTCTCGACCAATGATTCCTGATCGAGCACTTCTTTCTCTTCTTTTCCGCAGATCACGTGACCGTTTCCGACCAATTGTTATTGATCGAGCATCCTTTCTCCTATTTTTCGGCGTGGTTACATCGTTCTTGTTTTAAAAAAAAACAAAATCTAATTTTGCCTTTTTTTTTTTTGTAAAAATGATAATCTTGGCTTTTTCTCACCTGGGCTCTGTCAAAACAGCCCGCCGCTAATTAGATGTGACTTCAGGGAAGAATATTGGCGCCATCTGTGAGCTGAGACAATCGTTTTTTCACCTCTTGTTTTTGTCAGACCCGACAGTCAGAAAATCTTAATTATCTACATTGAAAATGTCCCCACTTTGTTATCATGGGTTTCCAATTCTTAATAGGTCAGAATCTGTATATAGTTCCACCGGTCACTCCCCTCAACCCAAAAACACACTTTTTCTCCGATTAAAAAAAATTTCGTTTCTATTGTTCTAAAATTTCCCTTTCTCCAGATTAAGATTTCGTTCCCATTGTTCTAAAATTTCCCTTTACTCCAAATTGATAATGAGTCTTTCTACGCAAAAAGTCGGTCATGCGCTTCGACCGACATTCTTATCAAAATGACTTTCCCTTCTAAATAATATTTCTTTTCATTGTCTCTCGAAAATCGGCCAAGATGTTGACCTAAATACCTTTCTGATACGTGTTTTTGTTAATGACCGCTTTTTGCATTTCTTGACCTCTCTTTCCCTTCTTTCTATCTTCCCTTCTTTCCTTTTTCTCTTCTTTCCTCTTCTCCCCTTAGGATCGTCTAAGTACAATCTTAGTGAATTATTTTCAACTCAATTATTTTCCGTTTAAAAAAAAAAAAAAAAAAAATCAACAACCTGTTTAGTAAACCGAGTAAAAAAAAAAAATTAAATCATATTTCTATGAATATTTCTAATAATGCAAGGTGCCACAATCCTCCCCTAACCGATTTGTCATTTACCCGTAAATGACACCTAAACCCAATTACATCATTTAACATGCACCATGCATTTGTCTCATGCAATTCTATTCTACTTTCTAACATGCAAGGGTAATGTTCTTTCCATTTTCTTTTGTTTCATGCAATGAAATGTTCTTTTCATTTTCTTTTGTTCTACATGCAATGTAATGTTCTTTTCATTTTCTTCTTGTCTACATGCAATGAAATGTTCTTTTCATTTTCTTCTGTTCTACATGCAATGAAATGTTCTTTTCATTTTCTTTTGTTCTACATGCAATGAAATGTTCTTTTTATTTTCTTTTGTTCTACATGCAATGTAATGTTCTTTTCATTTTCTTTTTGTTCTACATGCAATGTAATGTTCTTTTCATTTTCTTCTGTTCTACATGCAATGAAATGTGTGCGTGTGTTTGTAGGTGCAGATGTGTTCACTAGGGTTTGTTCTTCTTGGTCAATGTTTTCCTCTCTGCCGTGGGAGGTTTTTCCGCCGCACGTGGTGGTCTCACGACAGCCTCCTCCATTGGTCTTTCAGCAATTTCTTCGCCAGTCCTGTCTGAGTAAGGAACACTGCTCGGCATCTCCCTCTCGAGTTGTTGCATGCTCACTAGACTGTCATTCGCTAATCTTCTCTTACTCTTAATCTTCCATATTATTACACCCCGATGGCTATAACTAGGAATGTACCCATTACTATTGACCAACTTATCGCGATCTGCTCATCGTCTTCCCAAGCTACACCTTCGTCTCCCAACGCACTTAACTTATCTCTTAAGTGATCCATATCGATCTTTTCTATTGGCTTCATTAATACTGGCATCTTATTTAAGGTAACATTAGAGAATCTCTTCA